ACTCAATTTGTCATTGAATGGAAGCCTGACAATGTATCAACCGCTATCGTCTCTTGTAGTGTTCTAAATAAAATGGAGTTCGCACTCCCTTTCCTCGTTTGACATGTGAGTTTTTCCAGGGACTTGCTCCATCTCCCAGAATCTTTCGACTTGTTGCTCAAGATCTCGTGCAATGTGGCATAACGATTGCTTGGTGGTTACTCTTGAGCACTCAATTTTTCCGGTTATCAACCATCCCAGCCGAGTTTTTTGCAGTAGGATTACCTTGTTGCTATCAAGCCGTATCTGACCGACGCACAGTAATTCGTAGAACAGCTCTGCTCCAATGAGAGCGTCTATCTTGGATGGTTTATAAAATTCTGGATCGGCCAGTTCAATGTGTTCAGGCAGCTTCAGTGTTTGATGTTTAATCAATCTGGATGGAAGATCGTCGGTTATTACCGAGAATATCAGGAAGTTTAGCCTTGTTGTGAATCTTCTGTCTATCGAGCTGATTGTAGCATTTACAGCTTCTTTGAGTTGCGTGATGTTGACGTTGAATCCCGATACCGCTATCGGCTTCTCAATCATCTTCTTGTTTATGCCCAGTTTAGCACATGCTCGTTCTGTTAGGAAATTAGATTGTGCACCGGAGTCCAATATGCACTTAAATTTTACGTAATTTCCTTCAGCAGTTTGAATGTAAACTATCGCGGTTGAAAGCAATACCTCCGATGAAATACGAGCATGCAAGCAAGAGGCACCTGAATTATCAGTTTTTCGGTTGTCCGTATCGTTAACTTGTGTTTCTGTGGGGTGGAGCAATGTATGATGCTTGACTGTGCATTTTCGACAATGACCTGACCTACATACGTTGGCTAAATGATTGGGCTTTAAACAATTGAAGCAAAGACCCTTTGTCTTAACAGTACTATCCCTTTCCTTTGCATCGAGTCCCAAAAACTTTTGACACGCATATATATAATGATTTTCCGAACACACGGGACAATGGGATCGTGTTTGATTCGTAACGATATTAGTTTTAATTTTTGCCGTACTACTGGTGCGTGAATTGGTATTCTTGTTATTTGAAGTGATATTCACGTCATGGTAGATATTCTCTAATACATTACATCTGTTTTTTAAGAACTTTATCAATTCGTGGAAGTTAGGCATAACTGTGCCTTTGATGGTGCGTTCCCATTCCTTTTGCGTTGATCTATCAAGTTTAGAACCAACAATGTGCAACATAAGCGTATCCCATTGATCCGTGGGCTCTTTCAAAGCCTTTAAAGCTCTCAAATGCTTCAGTGTAGTATCCACTAACGTTCTCAATTGTGTATGTGTTCGAGATTAATTTGAATCTCGTTTATTTCATCCCCGGCGTGATGGCAGCATCAGCCGGGTCAGATCGTGCAGCGCCGCATGAGCGCTGCTCGCGCATGCCCGATCGCAACGCGAGGCGACCGCGCGACTTCACGTACGTTACCGGCGCTCTTTGTCTCATAGCGACCGTACGTAGTACACGCGTCTTGAAGTGCGGATAGTTATCAAGTGCTCTTTTGTGGACTTTCTCATTTTCTCACTTTCTCACTTTCTCATTCTCTCATCGAAGAATAGTCTCAGTGCGGACACGCAGTGAACTCTCAGCAGTGCAAATCATCCAGGACATTTTAGATACAGCATCAACGGCAGCTCAAGCTCACCACGCATCGCACGCCGGCGCCGCGTGGACACGGCTCACGGGCATCTACATTCACGAGGTCGACTCTCGATTAATATAATCGACCCGTGCAAGTGACTAAGAGACTGATCATCCCCGTTAAATCATAGACTGCTCAAACTGTAAGCCTTTTACATTTATTAAACTGACCACGGTATTTTACTCAAAACGAACTGAGTTACGATCACGTGATTTGCCACCCCTTAACGCGTCCATCCGTTCCCCGAGTCTCTCGTCGCAAAAGTCCTCTCAGCCCTGCTTCCAACCGCAGCGGTCCAGCGAGCTCTCCCAAAAGAGAATCGCGAACAGTATGTGATTCCTTATTAATTACTGGCATTTCGAATATTGCCCTTACGTGATTTTGCGTAATAAGTCATGGATTGTCGTACCTTTCCTCAAACAGTTCCCAAGCCACGTTATAATTTGGATTTGATGTTTCAAGCGACTGTATAACTTGTGTGGCTTCGCCCTTTAAGCACGATCTCAAATAATGTAGTTTTTGAATGGGCGTTAAATGTTTATTTTCGTGAATGATTTGAATATATTGTAAAATTCTGACCAAGTTTCGTATTTGCCGTCAAAGGTGGGCAGGTTTATTACTGGCAATTTAATACTTAGATTCTTGTTCTGTTGGAAGTCAGGTTGGCCGACAATACCACCGTTATTAACACTCTGTACGTTTACATCAAACGCGGCTTGCGTTTGTCCTATTGGCTGTACGGACGGAGGCGCCCTCTCTGCTCTAACCGCTTCGAGTCTACGCTGCGCTCGCCCCATCTGAAGATAATATGCGTTTTCGAATTCTATTTGACCATTACTTTCACTTTTCTTTTCTTCTTCCGTAAGTTTACCTTCGTTTAATAAATCTATCGCGTCTTGTATTGTATTAAATTCCTGCCTTACGATTTTCATGTCATTCGCGCGTTCGATCAATTGTTGCTCATCTTTATTTTCAACGAATCTGTCAAGATAGATAGAGAATCGCGTGAGTTGAGCCTTCAGAGTGCCTCGTCTCTGTCTATATTCCTTTAGCGTATTTGCCATTTTACTTCATTAATGTGTGAGACTACCGTTAAGCGAAAGTAATGTTCAAAATGTGATAATACGGATGCGTACCGGTGCGTTTACGACCTTAAGCTTAATGTAAAGATGGCCGTGTCGCTTTCACTTTGTCCAATATGGCTGTTATACGGCGCTTCGTCCTTCTCCAACAATGATTGATGTGACTTCCCGCCACCTGCGTTGTCCAATATGGCTGCTGTGTGTCTCGTAGATCGTTGATATGTGATTCCTTGCCGCTCCAGGTGTACAGGATTTTGCCTCTCGTTAGCCGATCGTCGTGGTGTGGTCGCAGGCACACGGCCTCCCCCGCCTCTCGCCAGCCGATCGTCGTGGTATGGTCGCAGGACACGGTCTCGTTGTACCGGTCGCTTCCCGTTTCCAGTCGTAGCTTCGCAAGATGGCCTCTCTCGACAGCGTTTCGTCGCCTTGACTTGTTGACGCCTGGTTGTGATTTGGATCGTACAGCGTTAAGTCGAGCCTTTGACTTGTCGACGTTTAACGTGTACTCGTGGATGTATGGATTTCTCGTCGAGTTCGACAGTTCAACAGTTGTAGCGTCCCGTGATTGCCTCGTCGTTCGGTTGTAGTCCAAATTGCACGTGCCTTTCCTCTCTCACACTCTGATTATTGGAGAATTTTCTCGCCTCTGTGATGAGGATCCGGCTCGAAGGACCATATGGTGGGAACGTGAAGGCTTGTAATAAGCTGAAGGCCTGTAGTTTCTCGGTTTTTATACAGATGAGAATGTATTTCGTCAAAATAAATTCGCTGTTCGCACGTTATTGTACACTGTGCTTCGGACGAAGGACGACGACTCACTGGTCTCTGCGCTACGGCGCTGGATCGCGTTCGATCTCTCGCGGCGACACTTAGAACTAAAAAATGCTATGTCGCATGCTTATCGATACAGCCTGGTACTCAATGAAATAAACCAACTTGATTTAAAAAAAAGCATTTATTTCAATACTCCTAACCAAATATTTGTTTAAAGGAAACAAATATATTTCATTGATTTAAAAAAATATTCCTTAATTTCGAAAAATTATAAACTTAGAGAAAAAACTTAGCAGTTTAATCACAAAACAAAAATTGAAATTAAAAAACCACTTTCAAAAATAAATTTTTTTACTTTTAAAAAATATTTGTTTAATAAAAAATATTAATTTAAATTGCACATTTTGTAAATTTTAAACATCCTTATTTTAAGTTTAATAAAATTTTTTTTATTGAAGTAAATGTTTTTTTTCAATTTTTTTTAGATTAAACTGCTAGGTTTTTCTCCAAGTTTATAATTTTTCGAAATTAAAGAATATTTTTTTAAATCAATGAATGTTAGCGAGTCTCGCTAGGAGAGTTCGCTGGTACCGCTGCGGATGGAAGCAGGGTGAGAGGACTTAGCGGTGAGAGGCTCAAGGAAAGAATGCACGCGTGAAAGGGTGGAATATCACATGAACTGAACTCGGATCGATTTGAGCAAAATGCCGTATCACGATTTTAATAATCACAGTATGCTTACAGTTGAGAAGTCTATGAGTATGACGGGAAATGAGAAGTCTTTTGATCACTTGCACGGGTCGATACTACTGATCGAGAGCCGGCCTCGTGATGTGTAGATGCCCGTGAGCCGTGTCAACGCGGCGCCGGCGTGCGCGATGCGTGGTGAGCCTGAGCCGCCGGTGATGCTGTATCTTGAGCTTTCCGGGATGAGGTGCACTGGTGTGAGATCACTACGTGTCCGCACTGAGTCGAATCTCTGGTGAGAATGTCCACAAGAGCACTCGAAAGTCCTTTGCACTACACGACGCGTGTACTATGTACGGTAGCCATGAGCCAAAAGCGCCGGTAACGCACGAGAAGAAGCGCCGTCGCCTCGTGCTGCGATCGGGCATGCGCGCGCAGCGCTCATGCGGCGCTGCACGATCTGACCCGGCTGATGCTGCCATCACGCCGGTAACGAACTGACCGAGATTCACAAATGAATCTCGAACATTCCGCCCGCCATCAGCAACGTCGTTGATGATCCCTGATCTTCTGATGAGATTGGCAGGACGGAGAGCTTTATCACTGGTCGGATGAGAGTGGTAGTGGCTGTCTTCAGAGTCACCACCCGCACGAGACCATCCTTTCCAGGATGTAGGGCCGTGATCCGGACTAACGGCCATTTGCATGGCGGTAGCCGTTCGTCGGTGATGAGCATCAATGATCCGATCTTGATCTCGTTGTTCTTGTGGTGCCACTATGAGATGGCTTGTTGACGTTGTAGGTCATGCGCTGACCATTGTGTCCAAAAATGTTGTGCCTTTTGCTGGATGAGCTGCCATCGTGAGAGTCTTGAGATTGCCAGGTCGGCGAGTGATGGCTCTGGTATGGTGGTGAGCGGACTTCCTACGAGGAAGTGACCTGGCGTGAGTGCTGAGATGTCGTCTGCGTCGTCACTCAATGGTTCGAGAGGTCGCGAGTTGAGAATTGCCTCCACTTGAGTGAGCAATGTGGTGAGCTCCTCAAAGGTGAGCACGCTTTCTCCAATGGTGCGCCGTAGATGATACTTTATGGATTTTACGACGGCCTCCCATTTTCCTCCCATGTGAGGTGTCGCTGGGGGATTAAATTCCCATCGGGTGTTGTCTTGCGAGAGCAGTTGAGAAATGCGCTGATGTTCTTGAGTGCTCTGGATTAACAGCCTTTTGAGAGCTGTATCCGCGCCGATGAAATTGGTGCCGCAGTCTGAGTGTAAGGTGTGAGCGACGCCGCGTCTGGATGAGAATCGTCGATAGACGGCAATGAACCCTTCGGATGAGTAATCACTGACCGCCTCGAGGTGTACTGCTGAGGTTGAGAAGCAGACGAAAACGCAGATCCAGCCTTTACAGGTTTTGGCACCTCTTCCCTTCCACGTTTTCACGGTGAGTGGCCCTGCGTAGTCCACACCTGTATAAGTGAATGGTCGTGCCTGCGTAACCCGAGAGAGAGGTAGTTGGCCCATCAATTGATGAGCACGGATCCCCCTCTGCCGAGCACACGTGACACACCGCAGAATGTGAGACTTGACAGGAGCCCTCCCGCCGAGAATCCAGTATTGTTGTCGGATGTGTGACAGCGTAAGCTGCGTGCCTCTATGTAGAGTCCGTTGATGAGCGTGAGCGATGATCAATGACGACAGCTGAGAGTGGCGAGGCAATATTACGGGATGTGTCGCATTGAGTGAAAGAGCTGCGTGAGTGAGTCGTCCGCCGACGCGAATGACTCCTTGAGCGTCGATGTACGTCGTCAATCTGTTGAATGCGTGTGCTTTTGCCACCAGTGAGTCGGCTTGTAGCGCCATGAGCTCGTACGAGAAGTACGTTGCTTGAGTTGCCTGAATCCAGAAGAGCCTCGCCTTTCCCAAGGTCTCTGGAGAGATGTGTCTGACAGGCAATGAGTCGTGGACCTTCCTCAACCGTGAGACGAATCTGAAACAGATAGCTGTAATCCTCAATACTTTAGTGAGACTTGAGTACCTGTGCATGAGTTCCCATTGATAGTCAGTCCGTGGCGTAACCGTCAATAGCGAAACGCCTGGGCGAGCTTCTGTTGCACTCAATTCTTCGGAGAGTGCCGGTTGCGACAGCCATGATTCTGGTTTGAGTATTCATGGTTGTCCCGTCCACCAAAGCGAGTGTTTTTGAAGTTGAGCAGTCGTGAGGCCTCGTGATGCGCAATCAGCCGGGTGGGAAGTTCCAGGTATGTATCTCCAGTGAGCAGCTGGAGTGAGTTCTTGAATTTGAGCCACCCTGTTGCTGACAAAATCCTTCCAGCGTGATGCATGAGATCTGATCCATGAAAGTGTCACTAGAGGGTCCGTCCACGTATGAGTTGCCGTTACGTCCATGTTCAAAGTGGCTTTGACGTATTGCATGAGTCGAGAGAGCAGTAGAGCAGCCGTGAGTTCAAGTCGCGGGATTGAGAGCCGCTTGAGAGGTGCTACCTTAGTCTTGGAGCACCCAAGTGAAAACGTGGCGCCGTTTGAGTCGTGAACGGAGATCTATATGACTGCAGCCATTGCCAATTGAGAAGCATCAGAGAATCCATGAAGTTCCCCTTGCGAGTCGCTCCATGTGTTGAGCCACCGAGGTATTGAGAGCCTGGCCAGGCTTGTGAGGTCTTCTCTGATAATGAATCACCGGGCTGAGAGCTGGGATGGCAGTGGATCATCCTACTGGAGCTTGTGCAGCCACAGCTCCGCAAGAGAATTTTGACCTTGATCACGACGGGTGATGCAAAGCCAAGTGGATCGAATATCTGAGCCACTTCAGATAAGACGAGGCGTTTTGTGAGTCTGCCTTCCGTGCGTGAGCTTCGTGTTGAGAATGCAAAGGTATCTTCTTGAGGGAGCCAGTTGAGTCCGAGTATCTTGGTTGCGCAATCGTCGAATGTGATTGGTAAGCCTTGGTCTTCGCTGTCGGTGACAGTCTTGAGTATGTCGAGATGAGTTGCATGCCATTTTGCTAGTGGGAAGCCGCCCGCCATGCAGAGGCCCTTCAGTTGATGTGCGACATCCTGCAATTGTTGTATTGTGTCGGCACCACCAAATATGTCATCGACATACCTGCCATGAGTGATAGATGGCACAGCCAGTGGATATTTATGTCCTTCGTCCTCTGCTAGTTGTAACAGCGTGCTTACGGCCAGGAACGGCGCGGCCTTTGTCCGGTAGGTGACCGTTGTCAGATGATATGGCACTTCATTGAGTTGATCGTCCATCCAGAGAATCCGCTGCAACTCCCAGTCATCCTTGTGAATTTTGATCTGCCTGTATATCTTGGTGATATCCGTAGCGAAAATGTGACGATGTCTCCGTATCCAGAGGAGAACACCTGAGATGTTCAGATGCAATTTCGCTCCCGTGTACATGAGGTCGTTGACAGAGTAGCCTGATGTGGTTGCGCTGGAGCCATTGAACACGACCCGCAGCCTCGTTGTTGTACTGTCAGGCTTGAGAACACCGTGATGTGGCAGGTAGAAGTGTGAGCGACGACTGGAGATGGATGATGCCTTCGTCATGTGGTTGAGTATCTCGTAGTCCATCATGAATTGTTGATAGAGGCGTTGATAATTCACATCCCTTGAGAATCGTCTGCGTAATCCCTTGAGGCACTGATGGGCGACGAGGTAAGAATCACCCAGAAGATCTACTGGAGATTTGAGTGGAATCCTGACGACGTACCTCCCTGATGAATCACGAGAGTGTGTAGCCTTGAAGTGTTCTTCGCACCTCTGCTCGTCAGGGGTGAATTGATTGACATGGTGAGTAGGCACCTCCTCTTGAACCCAAAATTTTGTCAGTAATTCATTGAGAGCATCCTCGTTGACTTGAGTAGAAGCATGGTCCGTTGATATGCTTATTGCTTCTCTATTGACTGGTCCAAGAACGAGCCATCCGAAAATGGAGAGTTGCGCTATCGGCATGAGTGGAGAATGCCTAATGATGTTGGGCTTGATAATTTACCCGTATGCGTCTGCTCCGATGATTCAATGTCAACTGGCCGTGGGATGAGAAAATCTGGATCGGCTAATGCCAAGTTCCGGAGATGCGGCCATTCTTCCGGTTCCGCCTCGAAGGATGTTAAGATTGATGTAACTGTCCGGAGGACATGAGCTTGAATTGTGGCAGCTGCGTTGGAATGTGTCGAGCGTAACGTGAGCGACACGACTCCTCGTGTCCGAGTACACTCCTTGCCTGCAATTCCATTGACGACAATACCTGAGTATTGACGAGGGATGTTGAGCTGCCGAAAGAGATTCTCCGTGACGAAGGTGAGTTCGGATCCTGCGTCAATGAGTAGACGCGCTGAGTGATTAGTGGTGGATGAGCTAATCAATGCCAAGGCTGTGGCGAGTAACGTTGAGCAGGATGAGCGGACGTGTGAGCTGGTCTCGACGACTGCAACGTCTCTTCAGGTTGCGGGCGTGCCCGACGAACCGCTAGATTTCTGAGTGGTCGACGCTGTTGGATGTGCGTCGTGCAGCATCGTGTGGTGACGCCCTGAGCATGTCTTGCAGCCCCGCTGGGACTTGCATGAGCGTACACTGTGGCGCCCCAGGCAGTTAAAACATAGGCGCTTGTTTACAGCCACCTTATGCCGGTCGTGCGGTGATAAATCCCGGAATTTTGTGCACATCACAATAAAGTGCTGCGCGTAACAGCAATCACAAGGGTAAGATGAGTCGCCCTGATGAGTAGTCTGATGAGCTGCCGTCTTCCTTGGCGGTGAGGATGCTCAGCTGGGGCCAGGATGAGCTGTCGTGGTTTCGATGAGACTCCGGCACCGGCGACGCACAATCGCCATGTGGCGAGAGGCGCTTTTAGCCTCGGGGAACAACACCCCGGGGCTGCGCGTCGTCGGGGCAATCGGGCCCCTCCTTGACCAGTGGGTCG